TGCGGGTAGGTCTTGCTTGACCAATCTCATTTCCTTCTACAACCAGGTGACCTATCACCTGGACAAGGGAGAAGAGATTGATGTCATATATCTTGACTTCAAAAAAGCCTTCGATCTGGTGTCCCATGATCGCCTCTTGGAGAAACTGGCCAATTGTCGCCTTGGGTCCTCCATGATCCACTGGCTGGAAAATTGGCTCCGGGGTCGGACCCAGAGGGTAGTAATTGATGCAAGTCACTCATCGTGGTGTCCTGTGACCAGTGGGGTCCCCCAAGTCTCTGTCCTTGGACCCATACTGTTCAACATCTTCATTAATGATGTGGACACTGGAGTCAGAAGCGGACTGGCCAAGTTCGCCGATGACACCAAACTTTGGGGCAAAGCATCCACACCAGAAGACAGGCAGGTTATCCAGGCTGACCTGGACAGGCTCAGCAAGTGGGCGGACGAGAATCTGATGGTGTTCAACACCGATAAATGCAAGGTTCTCCACCTTGGGAAAAAAAGCGACCAAAACACTGGCTTGCATCCATAGATGCTTCTCAAGCAAATCCTGGGACGTCATTCTCCCCCTGTACTCGGCCTTAGTGAGGCCGCAGCTGGAGTACTGTGTCCAGTTTTGGGCTCCACAATTCAAAAAGGATGTGGAGAAGCTTGAGAGAGTCCAGAGAAGAGCCACACGCATGATCAGAGGTCAGGGAAGCAGACCCTACGATGACAGGCTGAGAGCCCTGGGGCTCTTTAGCCTGAAAAAGCGCAGGCTCAGGGGTGATCTGATGGCCACCTACAAGTTTATCAGGGGTGACCACCAGCATCTGGGGGAACGTTTGTTCACCAGAGCGCCCCAAGGGATGACGAGGTCGAATGGTCACAAACTACTTCAAGATCGTTTCAGGCTGGACATAAGGAAGAATTTCTTTACTGTCCGAGCCCCCAAGGTCTGGAACAGCCTGCCACCGGAGGTGGTTCAAGCGCCTTCATTGAACACCTTCAAGATGAAACTGGATGCTCATCTTGCTGGGATCCTATGACCCCAGCTGACTTCCTGCCCTATGGGCGGGGGGTTGGACTCGATGATCTTCCGAGGTCCCTTCCAGCCCTGATGTCTATGAAAAAATCTATGAAAATATTTTTGGTTTGCAGAATGATTTGGATATTGACTTTCTTTTTCTTTCAGTACAGATGAACCAGATTGACCAGTATTGATGCAAATTTTTGGCTAAAGATATATATATTGATGATAAATAGTTCTTAATATTGAAAATACTTGAGGTTTCAGATAGCTAACCTTAATTACTGCATTTACTAAAATACAAGATGAGGTCCCTTCCCCCTGCCTAAATCAGTGTAGAAGAAAAAGCCCCTCATCTTACATTTGCATATAGGAAAACCATATCAAATACATTGTCTATTATTAAACTGCTACCTAGAGCAGTATGCACTCAGTAATGGACACCAAATATAAAACTGAATATTGGGCAAACATGCTTATAGGAACCTACCATAAGGATAAGTTAGTGCAGCCTATCTGAAGAAGATATATTATAGCGCACATTGACTGCAGTTCCCCTCAGCATCAACTTTTTTTTTTCCAAGTCAGGGTGAGCCACCACACTGCATACATTTCAACTTCCTCTTCAGTCCCACACCTTTCTTTCCCATTTCCAATCATCTTGTTTCCTTATTAGCCTTAAATGTCTGCCAAACCTTACCAAACAGGGTTTTAAATGGTTCATTCAGAATCCCTTTGTCGGCCTCTCGCTCAGCCTGCCATGTATGATTAGTGTGGCCCTGCCCTTCATGAGATGGAGCTAGACCAATTGCCTTGCACTTCATTTGCTTATACATTTCTGGAGGATCCCAGGATTTGTGACAAGAATACCAGGTTTCAGTCATGTGTGGAGGCTAATTAACACATGGTTCCTTTGTGGGGGATATGTGGACAGTGCTGTGCTGTGGAGTCACCATGTCTTGAAATGCTGTTGTCTCTGCTTGGGCCCAGCTGAGTGAATTGTTTGGTAAATCATGAGCCTTTTGGCTTTGGAGTAATATCATGCATAGTTTTTATTATATATAGGTTACAAAAGGGTTATTTAAAAGTGTGTTTATGGAGTACCTGTGCTAAAACATGCAGCAATTTCAAAAAAGGTAAAATGCATCAATTCTGGATGTACTATGCATATGGGTAGTATATGCAATTTGCTACAGGTCTATTTATTTTAGGGTCATTGATTTCAAATTTGCTCTTCGCTTCCATGTGTTCATGAAGAGCAGGGTCGGACAGTAATGAGGGGAGGAAGGGGCTGCAGCAGGAAAAGGGGTGGGGGTTAGAGGGTAAGGGGGCTATCTGATCCTCCAGATTTATTTTTCCTGCCATAGCATGGGGAGGGGGACAAATTATAGGTAAATCTTCAATAATTAGATTCTATACCTGGAAAATTATAAGATATTTATAAGTTTTCTATATATAGAACCTTATTATTGGAAGGTCCATCTTACATTCAGGGTCATCTTATATTCAAGTAAATGCGGTAGTTTATTAATAAAAGAAAAAGACAAAGAAAGGAAAGCTCTATGGAGAACTGTGTCATAGCAGTTGTGTCACAGATTCTCCTGAAAGTAGATGCTCAGAAGTGTTCTTCATATTCTGCCTAGTTACAACAAAGGTATTTCCTATATCATTACAAACTTACACATTTAATTAATATTCCTTGCCAAAAATGTATTTTACTAATCTCCTTTGTTTTTACCAAATTTAGGAAAACATACAATTTACTGTATTTATTACTCTTGGTATAAATTATTTTTCCAATTATCATTTGAATGATCTTTTCAATATGTTCATTAAACACACTAAACATTGAAAGGTGTTGTCATCTCAAAATAGCTTGCACAAGTTAAGTGCTTTGTGATAGAAACTTAGCTCAAGAATAAGGAAGGCCTTTACACCTATAATTATATATAATTACCTATAAGTACCTAATATACATGTGAATATTAACATATGATTCTGGGCTTGTGTAAGGATAATGCTCCATTGACAGCAATGGTAATGCACTGAAAGGAAGAATCTTCTGTTTCTTTTTGTTGGTATACTTACTAGCTGTGCCTAACAAAATTGAGTACAAATGCTGTCATGCAACTGATTTTATATTACCCACAAAATTTAAAATAATCCTAACTATGTAAGAACCCAGGAGTGTTAAAGCTTCAGGCACATAATATTTTCAGTAGTCTGACATAAATGGATTGAAACTAGGCTGTACAAATCCTCAAAATCTTAGGTGGTCAGTATATGTAAGAAAAGGCAAAAGTTTAATTCATTAGTGTATTCCTGCATTAATGTTTCATTTCCTCATTGTGTGTAGCACATTATTAGAAGAATTTGATATCCAAATGAATGGATGACATTGTTTATCAAATTATCTATATAGCATATTTCTCAAATGCAATTTGGGGTCTATTCTTAATTCTGTTTTAGGTTGGGTGAAGAGGTTCCCCATCCTAAAGGTGATGCACACTTGAAAAGGTTTTGATAGGGTCCTGAAAGGACCACCTTGCATAGCTCCTTGTACTTCTTGACATATCTTCAATTGAATATGCGGCATGTGGATTTCACTGTTTTGCTGTATGTACATCAGTCGCACACTGCCTCTTAATTCATAATCTAAAATAAATGCATAGTACTTTTAGCTTTCCTGGAGACTTTTTATTCACTTTCTGGCATTGCTTTCTTTTCACCCTAACTAATCAGGCTATCATGTACCATTTTTTTAATGTCCTTCTGCAGAAAAATGTAAGCCCTTCTCACCTGATAGTTTTGTTTCAAGAAAGAATATGGTTCTGATTTCTGTTTTTCTATTCAGATATGCTGCAAATGCTTATATTACAAATCAATGGGATGGGGAACAACAAGGGTCTATATAATATTGAAAAAGTCTGTTTTTTGAGAGTTCATTAGGAAATCAAATCTCTTCTTGCTAGAGGCAAGAACAGTTTTTGTGGAAGAAGCAAAAGCTAGACAATGGGAAGTGGGTTTTTTTGTTTTTGGTTTTTTATGCCATGTTGAATAATATTATCTACAATCATTAATAGTGATTTTTCTCTATTCACTCCTGTCAGAATTTAATTCTGTTTTTTCTCCAGAAAAGCATCTGTTGCATTTTTGGAATTGAATGGACTAAGACAGGTGGCTGATTTTTAACCCTATAGATTTCTGTCCGAAATTCAAGCTGTTTAAAATACCCTTTCCATTTCATACATTAATTAAGGTTTTTAACATCAGTAGGGGGAGCTACAATAGTGGCAGATTTGAATACCTGCTTCTTTTCATTTCAAAATTATGAGACAGAATATAAATATTGAAAAATAGCAGGATAGAAAGATCAATTTACCCTTTTATGCATTTATTTCTCATTTAGCAACTATGCTTTCAGAACTGAATTCTGAATTTTTTTTATAAGGAGGGCTGTCAATCCCCTTGAATAGCACAGTTGGTTTCTCATGTTGAATTATTTATTTGCTCAGCAGTAAATACTGGAGTGTAGGACAAATAGAGTGAAGTAACTCTTATGAAATCTGAACCATTGCATTTTTTCTTTAGAGTCCCTCCTCATGCATTAATTAGCTACATTTTTGGCATCTAAGCTGTAGTCACTAAGATGCTGTGATGATGACAGATATGATATGTAGTTAGAAATATCTAATCTGGAAAAAGTAATATAGATGCTGTTAGTTATCTGCTATATTGTGATAGCATGCCTGTAAGCTAATTGGTCACACATTCTCTTTTAACTGGAAAACTAATTTTCCAATAACAGTCATGTTAACATATAGTTTAGAGCTTACATCTCTAGTAATTCTTGTACAAGTGACTGCTTTTTCCTCTTTATGACAAAGTAAAGTCAGCCTTCATAAATATTGTTTACTTGCTGTAAGATTATCTTCTGACGTTTTTGTAGTGAATTAATATTATTTTCTTCCTGTGATTCTGCCAACAGAGAGAATGAGGTGCTAAAAGTACAACTAAAGAAGTATGTAGGAGCTGTCCAGATGCTGAAAAGAGAAGGTCAAATGGTAGAAGGTAAGGTTAAAATGAAGAGAAAAAAGAGCAGTTGTGGTAAACTGGAAGTTGTGGAGAAAGGCTATAGGGCTGTAGAAGCAGCAGTGGGTAGGATCGTGGTACGGTGACCCAAGAAGTTTTCTCTCTGGTGGAACTTCAGGCTCTATTGACAAGTTTCCATATCTGCAGGAGACTTGTTAAAGAAAGCAGACGGTCATTAGTGGGTCTTATCTATGAAGGATCCTGGAAGTTTTGGAGAGAAGGAAGTATGAGCATAGAATCCAATATGTAAGGGTTGGTTTTGTGGTGTCAGGCAATCCTGAGGCCACTGAATTTGGAATAACTTTTGCATGGAAAACATTTTGTTCACAAAGAACATATTTCTCATGTGAACTCAGATTAATTTTAATTGCTCTCCTATGCCCATTTTCCATTAAAATGCATTAGCTCCTAACCACATCTGCTAACCTTTGTTACATAGGGTTTGCAAAGGAGTGAAGAAAAACTGATAGGTATCTTTAATTTTGCACTCACTTCTAACCTTTGTCTTAGTTGCCTCACTGGGTTAAAGGCCTGTCATTGACCCTTCCACCTGCTTCTGTCCGCTCTCTCTTAGGGCACTGGCACATGTTCATTTGAAATTGCCAGGAGTTCTGATCCCTGATCTTAACAATCACTCCTCCTGCCATGCCACACATGTGCTTGGCAGGTGGTAGTTATGGGATCAGATCTCAATTGCACTCTTTTATTTTGCCAGTGCAAGGACATTCTGGGTTCATGATACTGGGCTCCCCTGCAATGGCAAGTTAAAAGCTGGGTGCTTTCAGCTGATTGTCAGCCTGGCTGTGGCACAGCACTAGGGTTGGTTCAAGATTTTGTGCTGTCACAGGATTGGGATTGCTGATCAGCTGATTGTCGGTCTTGGTCCCAGCCCTGGCACAGCACTGAGGCTGGTTTGGGACACTGGGCTGTCTCCAGGCTGGGGCTGAAAATCAACTAATTGGCAGCACCAGCCTTGTTGCAGCCTTCAACATGCCACATATTCAGTTTCAAGAGTTCCATTTTAGCTGGAACCTATTTTAAGCCTGATTTGCCATGATATGGCACATTACATTGGGTGCACATGTAGTACTGTTGCCATTTATGTGACAATTAACACATTAGTAATGGAATAAATGTCATGTTTAGAGGGCCCCTTATAGTCCTGACCAGTTACAGTTCCTGTTTCTCACATTTGAGGGAAGCTGATAAGTTAGCAGCTGGAGTTTCCACGTTGTTAATAGTTTGTTTAGAGTAATCCCTTGCTTGCTTTAAATTAAATACTGCATTTAAGGGGGAGTTATAAAATACTTTGTAAAATAACTATTAATGCAAAAGTGACAAGCACTTTCATTAGCTGATTCTTATTCTTATAGGCTGAATTGACAGACTGCCCAATATTTGCATTTTATTTATCTTCAAGAATAAAACTAATTTAAAAAACCTACAGTTTTGCAGTTACATTTTAATTATTGATTCAGTACAGCATAGAGTTCTTCTTATGACTTTTGTTGTGGAAGAGTTACACTTTCATATATTATGTTTTATTATTAACAATGATATTGGTACACAGATATCTCTTTGTAAAAGTGGTTTGAAATGGCATAAAGACTTAATTTCATAACAGTTTTAAGTAGATATCATAGATTTCATAGATATTAGGGCTGGAAGGGACCTTGCAAGTTCATTGGGTCCATCCAGGCATTTCTTCAACATATCCAGAGTAGGTGCTTGCACCACTTCTGGGGGAAGTCTATTCCAGACTTTGGAGACTTGGACAGTGAAGAAGTTTTTCCTTATTTCCAATCTAAAACAGTCTTCCAACAGTTTGTGACCTTATCTTCCCTTGGGGTGTCCAGGTGAACAGACGTTCTCCCATTTCCTTATTCACACCCCTTATATACTTACAGGCTGCCACCAAGTCCTTCCTGAGCCTTCACTTCTCCAGGCTGTAGAGTCCCATGGCTCTAAGCCTCTTCACATAAGGCCTGTTCTCTTGGCCTCTAATCATGTGACCTCTTGACTCTCTCATAGATTCATAGATACTAGGGTTGGAAGGGACCTCAATAGATCATCGAGTCTGACCCCCTGCATAGGCAGGAAAGAGGGCG